CGGCCCCCCACTTGGATTAATTAATTCATATTAACAATACTATTAATTAATATTTGGGGATTAAGAAAAAAAGATAATAGGTCAAAAGAAAATTTCAAAGGGAAAACCAAGGGAACAGAATCGCCTTTTGAAAATTAATAATGAAGAACAAAGCATTCTCTGGCAGCTGACACAACAAGGTTTTGTAAGTAGATTAATAGTAAACTTGTTTTGTCCCGTAGTAAGTGAAGTGGAACAATGTGTCCGGTAGTACTTTTTAAAATTTGCAACTAGCTAGTTAGAACAGCTTTACCATGTATTTTTGCTAGAGGTGGAAATTTGTTTTGTGGTTTGCGGATAATCAACAAATTTCACCGAATCGTATTTATTGTGATTAATCACGTTCATAAGTTGTAGGTAGTGGGGTGGGTGTGATCATTAGCAAAATCATGATTTTTGTGATTAGCGGTAGCCCATTATAATTACATTGGCTAACAAACTTTTGATTCACCTTTAAATTCACCATGATATATGGAGTGAAGATTAATTTTGTGAAAGGCTAAAATGACCCAACTGCCAAAGTGAGAACTTATAGTGTGCTCTGTTTGAGACTGAATTTTATTTTGTGAAGCAAAAGCTTTCATATCTTTCAGACAAAATTCGCATACCAAACTCAGGAAAAAAAAAAGGAAAATACACACCAAATCAAGAGAACTAATAATACGTTTTAAAGACTTTCCCATTCACCATTTGAAAATCCCAGCCCCGGGAGCGTTTATCGGAAGGGCCTTTTAGGAATCTCACACCCACCCTTCTAAACGCAGTTCAACCCTTACATCCCTAAACGCAGTTCACCTCTTTTCCCAAATTCAAGTCACCCGACTTCTCCCGCCAGCGATCTCGGCCCCTGACCTGCCTCCGCTACAACACCTCTAACTCCGGCGGCCCTGCAATCCTTTACATCATCCCTCACGCAATAGCGCCCTCTCTCGCCCATCAATGTATTTGTCGAGGCATTGGCTACATTTATTGCTTATTTTGTGTTGAACCCCTTACAGTTATTTGAGACCCTTCCAATTGGTGTTCTATAAAAATCCGATGGGTCGTCGTCGTAAAACCCCAGCGGCTTCCTCCTCACAAGCTACTGCAGCTCATAGTCGCCATTTTCCTGGTCAATGTAATAGCATTTTGTTGATGCCTATAGTGATTCCTCCTCAATACTTTTCTATAGAGTTATCGGGTTCTTGCTTGACTAACCAACCTCCTTGCTTTGGTAGGGAAAGGCCGAGCCATTTTTTACCAACCTGCTGCTCCTACCACCAAAGATATTGAAACCGAGAGGGAGCATCTTAATCGAAGTACTCCTTTCTGCGTACCTTCTTCTCATTATTTTGACTCTGCTGCATTGTTCCCTCATCAGTTTGACTTTAATAAAGTTGTCCATGATGCAGAGATTAACTCATTAACTATGCAATTGAACAATATTGAACGTGCAATCGCGAAAATTAGGCGAAATTCCAGGCGATTGCGTCTACGAATCAACCGCGGCCTACCAACTAATCTCCATGCTTCTAATGGTAGTAATCCTTTTGATCCATGAACTACCTGTATTTACTTTTGTTGTCAGACTACAATTATTACACCGGTCAATTTCTAGGGACAATTCTTCCATAAATGTTCCTATTATACTTTGATATCAGGTCATAGTACAGTAGATCCTAGACTGCTATCCAAGCGACAACGAGTTATGCGCTCTATTTCGTTGTGTAAGAGGCGCCAAGTCAATGTTCTTCCAAGAGGATACTTGAGTCACCATGGTTTGTAGTTTGATTGGTTGTTTTACTTTTGAATCATTTTGGAACTTGTAGCAGGAGATTAACCACATGTTATGTTCTATATTCAGGCTTTCCATCGGTTGAGGTATATGATTTGGGTGAACCATCATGCTTATGTGAGTTTTGTGGAGCGGTATTATGGCTGTAGGAAAGTACATCGGCTACCAGGGGTCATTCACAACCCAAATTCTCTTTGTGTTGTAAACAGGGGAAAGTCAACCTCCCTGCAAAACGTGAACCACCTGAGTTTCTAAAGCATTTATTGCATTCTGGCCTACCAATTAGCCGGCATTTCCTGCAATATATCCGACTCTATAACGGCGTCTTCTGCTTCATTTCTCTAGGTGGCAAAGTGGATCGTCGACTGAATGATGGTTCTGGTGTATATGTGTACTCTATTAGTGGACAAATTTATCATAGTATTGGCAGTCTTCTCGCTCCCGAAGGTGAGCCACCAAAGTTTGCTCAGTTATATATACATGACTCCTCTTCTGAATTGCAGAATCGTCTCAATGTGTTCTCATCAGAACAAAATGGTAATTCATTACGTCCTGATATAATCCAAGGATTGCAAGACCTGTTTGATGAGCACAATATATTGGCTCAGACTTTTAGAACAGCCCGGGACAAATTGAATGAAGGGCATGTCCAATCAATGAAGCTACGATTGTTGGCAAAACGTGCACAGGATGGCCGAGAGTATGATTTACCTACTGGGAATGATATTGCTGCGTTGGTTGTAGATGAAACAGGCTAGGACACATTCGAACCAGACATTGTTGTTGAGTATCAAAGTTCTAAAATCGAAAGGGTCAGCTACTACCATCCATCTTTGATGGCTTTGCAGTATCCAATCTTATTTCCTTATGGGGAAGATGGGTGGCATCCAAACATCAGTCTCGATAATTATGATGGCGAAAATCTGTGGAATGACAATAATTTGACTCAGTGTGATTATTATGGGTATCGTCTCCACACTAGATTGCACGAATCTAACTCTTTGTTGGTGGCGGGAAAATTATTTCAGCAGTATGTGGTGAATGCATATGCATTGGTTGAAGCTGAACGGCTGGATTGGATACGAAATAACCAGCACAAATTACGTCTACATTATGTTAGTGGGTTGCTAGATTCATTTCTTTGAGGTGATACCGATCTAAGTTTGTCTGGCAAGCATGTTATTTTAGCTGCTTCGCATACAGGAAGTCCACGATACAAATACGAGAATTTTCAAGATGCAATGGCGATATGCAGGTGGATGGGTTATCCCGATTTATTCATTACTTTTACCTGCAATGCAAATTGGCCAGAAATACAGTATATGGTGGATTTGATCGGTATTGTAGGCCGGAAGGATGTTAACAGGGTTGATGTTATTGCACGAGTTTTCAAACTCAAGTTGCATCAATTAATGACCGAAATTCGAGACAAAAAAATCTTTGGCACCACAATCGGCCGTAAGTCACTCATACTTTGTCTATTTTTTTTTAAATTACCTGTCAGTTTTCAGCGTCATATTGCCCTCTAATATAATTTCTTCAATCGCAGATGTAATGGCAATTGAATTCCAGAAGCGTGGTCTTCCCCATGCTCATATCTTGGTTTTCCTATCTGGAGAAGACAAATTAAAAGGTGCAAAGGAAATTGATTCAGTTATCTCTGCAGAAATTCCGAACCCCCATCTTGATCCTGAGGGCTACCGCGCTGTAAAATCGTATATGTTGTATGGACCATGTGGTGTTTTAGGACGTAACTCCCCTTGCATGGAAAAGGGTGTTTGTGGAAAACATTTTCCCAAACAGTACTCAGAGCAAACTATTATCGATGAATCTGGTTTTGCAAAATACCGTCGTCGTGATAGTGGCATAACTGTTGAAGTTAATAATGTTCCTCTCGATAATCAATTTGTAGTCCCTTACAATCGATATCTACTAATACGTTTCGAAGCTCACATCAATGTTGAATTCTGCAACAAATCTAGGTATGGTTTACGTTCTAATAATGTCCTCTTCAGTATCGTTGGTTGGGGTGTTGGCTGTTGTCAGACTGTTTTGCATGTTATTTTAGATGTCAACCTTTCCTGTTGCAAACAAAATATACAATGTTTATTAGTACTGTTAATTTTGTTGGAATTCAACATATATGTAATGTTTTGCCAATTCCAGTTCCAAGTTATCTGCATATAGAGACAAAATCAATTAATGGAAGTGATTTGACATGGCAGAATAAAAATCATTTTGTTAAGGTTGTTTACATGTTGTTGGCCGTTTTGAACTAAGAAATATTTACACAATTTATCTACCTATTGTTTTCACAAGTTTTGCTAAGAAGTCTTATTCCTCCTGGCGGATTACCTTTTTCATCAATTTAAATAACTAAAATTTGGATGGTACGCCATTCATAAGCAAAAAGTCAACTTATGCATTTTTACTGTCTTTGGTGTCAGTGTATATGTAATCCGCACTATCTACTTTGTGTAGGGCTATAAAATATCTCTTCAAATACATTAACAAACCAGAGGACAGGGCAAAGGCATCATTGGTTGACAATCCTTCGTCTGTAGAGATTCAGGATGTTGGTGCATCTTCCCGCACGGTCCAGCGTATCGATGAGATCAAGGCTTTTTTAGATTGTCGATACATAACTTCGGGAGAAGCATGTTGGAGATTGTTCAAGTTTGAACTCTATAGTCAGTATCCATCAGTTTTACGTATGTCATATCATTTACCGGGTGAGAATGTCGTTGTCTCCAACCATAGATCAACGGCCCAAGGTTTGCTGCACTCAAAGCGTGCCAACACTTCAATGCTGCTGGGCTGGATGCAAATGAACAAACTGTCCCATGAGGCAAGAAAGTATACTTATGTTGAATTTCCTCAACATTTTGTCTGGAATTCAACTAAGAGGGAGTGGCACCGGAGAAAGTCAAAATTCTGTATTGGCAGGTTATACAACTGTAATCCTTCCCCAAATAATGATCGTTTCTACCTACGTATGCTGCTCAATGTTGTTAGAGGTTGTTGCAGTTTTGATGAAATCAAGACTGTCAATGGAGAGGTACATAAATCTTTTAAGGAAGCATGTTATGCCCATGGATTGTTAGCTGAGGATAATGAGTGGAATGATTGTTTGAAAGAAGCAGCTTTTTGGGCTACTGGATATAAACTGCGAGCTTTGTTTGTCACTATTCTCACTCATTGTCAGGTATCCAACATTGGTAGTTTCTGGGCCAACAATTGGGAACTATTATCAGATGATATCTTACACACTCGCCGGAAGGAGCTGAACATGCCTGCCTTAGTCATGAGTGAAGAACAGCTCAAGGAAGCTTGCTTGCTCGAGATTAGCAAACTTTTGGCAAGTCACTGCCAATCTCTTTCAGATTTTCCTGGTCTGCCGGTTCCTACTTCCTTCACTTTAGCATCTTCATCTAATCGACTGCTTGCAGCTGAACTTTGTTACAATTCCGGAGAACTTCTGCATCAATTTCATGATAAAATTTCCAAGTTAAATGCTGAACAAAGATTAGCATTTGATGAGATCATGGACTCTGTGTATGGTGATGCTGGAAAATCCTTTTTTATTAATGGATCAGGAGGTACTGGGAAGACTTTTCTGTGGCAGGTAATTTGCATGAAACTGCGATCTGAGAATAAAGTTGTTCTGTGCGTTGCTTCTTCTGGAATTGCAGCTTTGTTAATGGAGGGTGGTCGGACAGCACATTCACGCTTTCGCATCCCTGTTGATTTGGATGCAAAATCAACATGTAACATCCAACAAGGAAGTGATTTAGCAGAATTGATTCAGCGTGCTTCATTAGTAATTTGGGATGAGGTTGTTATGTCACACAAACATTGTGTTGAAGCAGTTGACAAGTCCTTAAGGGATATTTTACGCCCCCGGTTCCAAAACAGTGAGACAAAGCCATTTGGAGGTTTGACCATGGTATTTGGTGGGGATTTCAGACAAACTTTGCCTATAGTTCCTAAGGGGTCACGCTCTGACATTGTCAACTCATCTATTAAGAGATCGTACTTATGGAGATATTTCAAGGTGATTACATTAACTCAGAACATGAGGTTAGCTCGAGCTAATTGTTCACCGGAGGAAGCTGAGGAAATCAATGACTTTAACATATGGCTCTTACATGTTGGTGATGCACCGGAGTCCAATGTGTTTGGTTAGTCTACTATTCCTATTCCACAAGAGCTTTTAGTTAACCGAGAAGTAGATCCTTTTATTGATATCGTTCGGTCGACTTATGGCAATCTTCAGCAACAATATACAGAATCCCATTACTTGGTTAGTCGAGCTATTCTAGCACCTCACCATGATATGGTATCTTCAATTAATGCTAATGTTTTAGCCGCATTCCCTGGGGAGGAAGTAACATATTACAGCTCGGATTCCATACAAATGGATCCTGGAAATGAACAAGTTGTCGATGCAGATTATACAGTTGAGTTCTTAAATACGTTGAGTATTGGTAATTTTCCAGACTATGAGCTTAAGCTTAAAGTTGGTTGCCCTGTCATTCTGCTTCGAAATATGGACCAAACTACAAGATTATGTAACGGTACCAGAATGATCGTAAAGACAATGGGGAAGTGGTTTATTGAAGTCGAAATCATTACAGGAAATCATGTTGGTGATCGGGTCTTCTTGCCTCGACTGACATTAGCAACATATTACAAGTCATTGAACTTCACTCTATTACGAAGGCAGTTTCCTGTGGCTCTTTGTTTTGCTATGACGATTAATAAAAGTCAAGGTCGGACTCTTAATCATATGGGTTTGTGTCTTCATGAACAAGTTTTTTCTCATGGACAACTTTATGTGGCGTTGTCAAGAGTCACAAGGAAAGGGGGAATCAAGATCTTCAGTTCCCATTTATCAGAAGATGGTGTACCTTCTGTTCTTAATATTGTATATGGGGAGATTTTTGAATGACTCTGGAATCTGAATCAGCAAAATTGAGTTGGTAAGAGAATGACCTGTTTCCAATCTCACTCTATTGGTTTCATAATAGATTCCAAGATTCACAATTCAATTATACATAATATGTTCTTTAAAATCGACATAATGAGGCCATGCATTACTTTCATTTCTTTTTAGTTTTGCTTCTGTTACCGGATTTGTCAATATATCCCTTATCTAAAACACTTTTATGCTTTGTTTTATTTTGTCATGGTTTGGAACATTTTCAGGAGAGCAAGAACGATTATTGATTGGACACCTAAAATTTCTAGGAGCAATGGCAGGAATATTTTTGGATGGTGTACCTGTTCGCTTATCTTCCACAACAGCTCATGCCAGGATAACAAAAACTAATATTGATTTTAGTTTTGTCGACAATGGTATTTTGGTATTATGCATGTTCATTCTTCACTTGATTTTGGAGTAACTATGCTAGATGATTTCCCATAATACTCTTTATAAGTTGAATATCAGAGTTTAATTATCAATCACATTTCATATTTCTCTGGTGTCACTATATATACTTTGTGTATTCAATATAGTCTTACATTTGGAATTCAATAAATTAGTTTCACTCATCGTGGCCTAACTAAAACAATAAACCAATCTATGCCAATTCTATCAATTGAAGTTGGGAATTTTGTTGTCTTTAGCAGATAATGGGCCAGTCCACTTGCCGAGACAACCTACTTCTCAATGCGAATATTTTAAAAAAAACTCAATAAAGAGTCTCAGCATCTCCGACGTCGTAATATTCTCATTCGTCTCTACTTCCGGCGAGTCTTCGTCAATGATACTAAACCATCATTGATCCATTTTCCAAACATAATTGGCCCAGCCCACTTACCGACAAGCCCTACTTCCAATTACGAATCAACAAACCAGCCTAAATCAAGAGTCTCGACCCGGCGACGTCGTATTGTCCACATACCCCTCTACTTCCTGCGTGTATTCGTCGTTGACACTGAACCACCATCGATTCACCTGCTTCGGTGGTCCAACTCTGAAAACGCAACTTCATTCTTCCCAGCAGAGACTAGCGGAACCTATTGAGCTATTTTTTGTCAGAAGGTTTGATTTCTTACTTCAAACTTCTTCAACTTCCCTGTTCAATTATCTCGATTTCAATTAATTTAGGGTTTTCGATATAGCCTAGAAAGGCACGGCAGAAAGGGGCGAATTACGTCCGATTCGTCAATAGCATTTTTTGGCATTGGTTCTCTTCTTTCGGTTTACTACTGGAATGTGTACTGCGAAGCGGTTACGCGATAGAGTCCCACGAATGTCGTTCTTAGTGGCAGACGTGGTTCGTTGCTCTATCCACAACCGTCTTCCACAGCAGTTATTCAACACAGTCCACGTCATTCATCTCATACAAAAAACCTCCATTCTACCAGGTATGTTTCAACACCCGTAAATTTAACATTTATAACCTCTGTTTTTTGCACTTTCTACTCATTGGAGTAAACTCCACTTACCTGTCCTATCCCCTCCACAAGATGGAATTCACTTCCATAGGAGAGCTTTCCCCAAATCAACGACCATGCAAGCTCAAATGTCGTGTTTCTCGACTGTGGGTTGCTACAAATATCAACACAGACATCGTTTGCCACTTGGATATGATCTTGCTAGATTCACAGGTCTATACTACCTCATCTAGGACCTCAATGCTTCAGATTTTCTCGCTATTACAATGCTCTAACTTCGTTTCTTCATTGACAGGGAAATGACATCTGGGTGCAAATTCCACCTTTGCTCATGAAGATTTTCCAGCCACTTCTGAAAGATCAGGAAGTTTATACTTTCAGCAACTTCAAAGTCCAATCCGCACCACAGGAATATCGACCGATTGCCAATGACAATATCATCATATGTTCTGGGAAAACCTCTGTTCAACAAATCCCAGACGTCCCTCGCTCCATACCGACTTTCAAATTCACATTCATGAATGCAGCTCAAATCAAAAGGAACCTTAATAAAATAGATATTCTATCAGGTGCTTTCTACTTTGCCATACTCTTTTTCTCTGGTTTTTTCACCATTTATGGAACTCAACTATTATTTACAGAAGTTGTTTTTGTTAGAGTTTGATAAGTTGTTATTATACTCTTTACCAATCGAATCAGAAGTGTTAATGACCATCAGATTGGTTAGGTATACTGTATACTATCTTAATTCAAGTCTAGAAGTTCCTAGGATAGTCTCTCTGTTTTAGTGTGCACAACCTTGCGTATTTTCGTCAGTTAAAGTAGAGTATGACCTGAACTAATGTATCCCTTGATTTCCAGATGTTGTTGGTCAGGTGCAACATGTATCAGAGCGTAAAACTTCATGCAAGGGCGGTCGAAAAACTACTCGGAGACACATCTCCCTGAAACTGATTGAGTTTGTTCTATTGCCTATCTAATTAGATAGATTCATACAATATTTATCAACCTATTTTTCCTTGAGATTTGCTGGTTGCTTTCTATTTCAATTTTTGTAGAGGGGATGTTGTGTCTGTTGTTGTGTTTGGAAGACTTCTACCGCTTTTGGAGAGCTTTGTCAACGCTTCAGGAACAGCTTCTTTCGTAATAGTTATTACTTCCATACGAGTTACACCATTCCAAGGTAAACTTTTGGTTTTTATATATTCAGTCTCAAACATGAAATATAAAAAATACATATTCATTGTTTTGTTGTTTGTGTATTATGTATGTAGGAGATTGCTCTTTGTCCTCGACATCCTCAACCTGTTTGTTCTCGAATATCGATATCCCTGAAGTCAATGCCTTTCTAAATGGGTATAGTCGTCTCTCTTAATTTGAATGATAGACATTAATATACAAATTATGATGTAATCGTGTATTCATTGGCTCTTGAAATTAGGAATAATGAAAATGTTGCACCTGTCTTGCTGGAGGAACCTTCTACTCCTGAAGTTCCCATAGTTACTCTAGCTGAACTTCAGAACTTGAGCTTAGACATGCAAAATGAGGTTATAACGTTCCAATTCGTGCTTGATGTCCACATTGTACTTCTCACATTTCAATCTTTTAAATTGTGTTTTTTTTATAGGACAATGTTTATTCTGTTGAGGGTAAAGTTGTCGATCTGCATCCTTTGTGGTGTTACCTCAGCTGCCCTACATGCGTCTATAAAGCTCCAGAAGATCAGGATACCTACCATTGTACAAAGTGCAACAAAACTACAACTATCAAGGCTGCAAAGTATGATTTCAACTTTTTCATGAACAACACATCACTTTGTTCTTTTACTCTCATTTATTTATCAAACAAAGACCTCACTTATTATTCAAAACTTTTTCGTATGTAGGTATCGTCTGCGACTTGAAGTTGTTAGTGATGACACATCGCCCTCTTTTGTCATGTTTGAAAATGTTGGCGAAAACTTTTTTGGGCTGCCTGCTAACCAGTTATTCCTTGAAAATGGTGGCTTGAAAGATTCTCCACCGGAGATTATACTTAAAATTCTAGGAATGACTCTCAAGTTTCATGTGAAAATCAAAATCAGCATGTATACAAGGAGCAAACCAGACTTCACTGTTGTCAAAATTGATCCAGACTCCATAGATGTAAGTTCTCTTTTTTTAATTTCTCATCTCATATTCATTTGTGGACTTAGTTAGCCGAATTACTTATTGCTGTCACTGTAGAATAGACTCTACTAACTTTGGTTTACACCCAGTTTTGAATCATAATGTATTTGGTCATTTTTTAAGCGCTTTAGTTGCGGTTATGGTGTATTGATAGAATTATCAGACCACTTATTAGTTTATATTTAATCTTTATAACACTTATGCTCTATTTATTGACATATTTCTTATGTTGTTTACTTTCCAGTGGTTGTAACCAAATTATAGCTAATGCCTACTATCTCTCATTTTTATTTTTCAGGATCTCCCCGCCACATTGCAGAAGGTTGCCTCCACCCAGTCAATTCACAGTGACATTGAGAATTCAAGGAGTTCTTCTCAAATCTCAGACCCCCTGTGTACTGCAGTTAAAGACACTGATGGCGAGAAAACCCCATGCACTTCTCTCAAACGAAAGCAACCTATTGAATGAGATCTTGATCCGTTGTTATTTATCCTCTCACAGACGTTTCATTTTATGTTTTGCTTTTCCTGTTTCCTATCCTTAATGGATAAAGTCAGTCCCTGACTAATGACACAGGTGCTTCATGTGTTAAACTTTTTTTTTAATGTTGGATTTAAGATGGTATGTTTGGTCTATGTTGAATGCTTTAGACTGCAGTTTTTTATGTTTATATTTTACTCCATTCGTCTACATTTTATTTACATATTTGCTTACCTTTGTTCAGCTAAACCGTTGTTGTTTTTCTCTAGGTTCTTTGTTTCATATTGAGCTGTTTGAACTATTCAGGCATAAATCAATTTTTCCCTCATTTATAAATTGATGTGAAATCAGCTAATCATGGACACTTATTAAATATTTTGATACTTTGTTTTTAAGGGAAAACTTGACTCTTCTTACACAGAAAACGAAGAAACAAAAATAGAGAACTATCCCTGTCCTAGAAATAATTAATTTCCAAGATAAAGAACTCGGACATTTTTGGAATTATTAGGTAAGCGATGTCCATAATTAAAAAAGTTAAACACTTCTGTTCCAAACTAAAATCCTCTACCAACATAGAGTCAATGACTGAAGATGAATTTCAGCCCAATTAGTTACAACTACTAATATGTTATTCGGCCCATCTAATTTCTTCAAGTTATGAAGCCCATTTGTTGGCCCTATAGAATTACACCGAGATTCCCATGACAACAGCCCAAACA